TTAAGTAGCTGTATGTATCAAATGGACCAGGTTTCCAACTCTTTGAAAGCAAGAGTATACCTTTTGCTAGAGGTGCTCAAACAATTCAGACATTCTCCATGAGTAGTCTAGAAGACTTGGCTAGGAGTCCAACTTCATAAAGCAAAAAGGCAAAGCTACATACAAGGTTCAAGTTAGCCTGCTATAAACAAGGTAGGGATAAGGTTCATACATTTCCAAGGAGGAAAAAATTTTAATCTTCCCAATGGGCAAATAAACTCTAAGTCTGCAAATCTGAGGATTGGGTAGCTCCTTAGAACTCCAGGGAAACACTTTCTCCAATTAATAATGTTGAACTCTCAGAAAACTACTGAGTAGTGAAATTATTATATAAAACAATTATTTCTAAAGAATACACTTATTTTCACATCTTTTTTTCACAGCTTTATTGAAATAGAATAGACAATTAGTTGCTCATATTTACAATATACAATTCAATGATTTTTTTCAGTTATAGTTGGAATATAATTTTCAGTTGTACAGCACAGTGATTAGAGATCTATATAACTCACGAAGTGATCATCCCATAAGTCTAGTACCCTTCTCCCCTCTTATATTACAATATTATTGTCTCTATACTTTATGCTATACTTTATACCTCCATGACTATTTTGTAACTATCCTTTGTACTTCTTAATCCCTTTGCCCTTTTCCACCAACCTCCCCAACCCCCTTTCCATTTGGTAACCCTCAAAATATTCTCTGTATCTATAAGTTTGTTTCCACATTGTTTATTTTGTTCTTTAGATTCCATGTGTACATGAAATCATATGGCATTTGTCTTTATCTGACTCACTCCACTCAGCACAGAACCCTCTAGGTCCATCATGAAATATCTTTTTCCATCCCTTTACTTTCTGTCCGTGTGTTTTTTAATCTGAAGTGAGTCTCTTGTAGGAAGTTTATATAAGGGTCTTGTTTTCTTAGTCATTCATCCACCCTATCTTTTGATGGGAGCATTGAATTCCTTTTCATTTGAAGTACTTGTTGATTGATATGTAGTTACTGCCATTTTTTATTCATATTTTTGACACGTTTTTTCTTCTTAAAGAAGTCCCTCCAACATTTCTACAATACTGGCTTGGTAGTGATGAACTCCTTTAGCTTTTTCTTGTCTGGGAAGTTCTTTATCTGTCCTTTGGCTCTAAATGATTGCTTTGCTGGGTAATCTTGGTTGTAGGTTGTGGATTTTCATCACTTTGAACATTTTGTGCCAAGTCCTTGTGATTGCAAAGCTTCTTTTGAGAAACTGGCTGCCAGTGTTATGGGAGCTCCCTTGTAGGTAACTAATTACTTTTCTCTTGCTTTTAAGATTCTCTCTTTGTATTTAATCTTTGGAATTTTAATTATGATGTGTCTTGGTGAGGGCCTCTTTGGGTTCATTTTTTGGGGGACTCTCTGAGCTTCTTGGGGCTGTATGTCTATTTCCTTCAACAGGTTAGGGAAGTTACCATAATTATTTCTTCAAACATATATTCAACTTCTTGTTCTCCTTCTTAAGGTACCCCTGTGACATGGATGTTTTTAGCCTTAATTTTGTCCCATTGGCTCCTTAAATTATTATTATATTCTTGGTTACTTTTTTCTGGCCATTCTGATTGGGTGTCCTCTGCTACCCCATCTTCTATATTGGTGATTCTGTTCTCCACTTCATCCACTCTGCTGATTCCCTCTTACATACTCTTCATCTCAGATAATGTGTTCTTCATTTCTGACTGGCTCCCTTTTATAATTTCCATTTCCATTTTTATGTTTTTTATCTCTTTAAGTTATTGAGTTCATCTCTTCTCCTAAGTTCATTGAGCATCTTTATCTGTTAGATTGCTTGACTTTGGAGCTTAGTTCTGTCCTTTCATGTAGGATAAGCATCTCTGTCTCCCCATTTTGGCTACCTTTCTTTGTCTGTTTCTATGTACTAAGCAAAGCTCCTAAGTCTCTCAGTCTTATTAGTGTGGCTTTGTGTAGTAGGTGTCCAGTGGCACACCCTTGAGAGGGGTCCAACTGCAGGCCAAGTTTAGCACCATCCTGTGCCCCTCCAGGGCCACCTGGTCAGATTTAGCAAGCAATCCACAATGTTGTGCTTATAGTTGCCTCAGGAGGCCACACCAGAAACCAATGCTGGCTGCTGCCAGTGTGGGGCTTGGAGCTATTCAGCAAGGGGCACAGTGCACACCAAGGACACCACTGGATGCGTCTTGGGTAGGGCTGCAAGTTGGGAGGGGCAGAGTTTCAGGGAATCCTCTGGGCAGAGCAACCTCTGTTATCCAGTTTGATGATGTCTCAGCTATGACGGTGCCTGTGGCGTCTGCGTCTGCACGCTAGAATGGGGGAGGGCTCAACAGACGAACAATGGATACTGCCAGCACTTCTATGGGGAGAGAGACTTGCCTCCAGCCCTTGCTCTGAAGCTCAACAACTCAGCGTCCCCCCATATCCTGGTGCTGCCTGAGTAGCCAACCCAGTGCTGAGGCTCAGAGTGAGTGAGTCTATCACTGTGAAAGTTTGGCTGTGGCCTTCAAGAGGAGTCTAAATCTGCTGGCTGCAGCTGCCGCAGCCTCTGTCTTACTGTGAGACCAGGCAGCCTCACGTCTCCGCCCCCTCCTACCATTGCAGGGTGATTTCTTATTTCTCTCCCCAGGCTACTCTGCTTGCTGTTTATTCTGTGGTTTTGTCACAACTCTGGTGTGGTCGCAAGAAGAGATGTACAAAGCCTGTAAGCCATCTTGCCCCTCCTCCCAAGAATACACTTATTTTCAGTGAGAATGTTCTGGTACACACAGAAACAAAGATGCATGCATGCTCAAGCTTTCAGTTCTGGATCTCTCAGTCAAGCATCTAACACATGCTCAAATGTGTTAAGCTTTAGTTTAAATAGTACTTTGTTTAGTTTAAACAAAGTCAGGCAAGGGGGCCAGGGACTTAAAATCTGTCCTTGACTATTAATTCTAGACAGATGACACAATGAGATAAATATATCTTCCTACTTCCTTACATAATCTGGCCAAACCCAATCATTGATCTTCCTGCAAAGTGGTGATGGATCACTGAGATTGTTTTTTTCTTTTTGACATGTGTTTTGTGTCTAGAAAATGGCAATGGCTAGAGAAACAAAGTGAAAACATGCCGAATAAAGGGAGGTAGGAGAGAGATGATGTTGGAGAGAAGAGAAAGAAAAAGCCTCAACTTCTTTTATTCTCTTTTATATGCAAATGTACACCTGCTAAAATACTTCTAAATCTACAAATAAAAAGAAAAAAAAATATCTGATGAACGAGTGCTTTTAACAACCCATTATAAGAGCCAGATAAACGTGTGGTTCACCAGCCTCGATGGGGTTTCTCTGAGTCAGAGGTTCTGTCCATGGCTTTCACAGAAATCCCTAATGAAAAAAGAGTTAGGTCCAGAAAAGGAATCACAAAGGAGATACAAACAATACTATCACTACAGCTAGAAAAAAACAACCTTGAACTGACAAAGAACTGGGCATCTTTGAGTAAGAAAGGCTAAACTATCATTCCTATATGAAGTATGTAGAATTTTTTAAATTAAACTTGAAAAGTATTTTTTCTGTCCACTGAATTTCTCAGTACTGTTCACATATATCTATACCCATGCAATTTTTTTTTTGCATATTACACTAGATGTGTTGCTGATGCAGCAAACTCAGTCATTTTTGCAAAATAAAACAATAATTGTGGGATATGTTTCTAAAATTAATTCTAAAGATAAATATTATCACTTAAAATCCAGAAACCACTTCTCTAGTAATTTGCTCAAATAAAAATGAGAAACTATTAGGCTATGGGTACTTTCGCAATTTTGAAAATACAGAAAACTCATCTATAGGAATTTTAGTTTTTATGTCATAAGTCTATGTGAATGTGGGATATAGAGGTTGAGTCCACTTTTCATGTCCAGACTTTCCACTCCACTCCACTAGTAGTCCTGGGTCTGTAAATCTATTGTCCAGGTTTCTCTGTCCTCTCACACAGAGGGCTGAGGTACAGAGTAACACCTAATTCATATGACTTGCCTGGAGTGGCTTCAGGAAGTAGGTTTATATTACATTCTTAATTTTTATGAAATAATTCAACAATTACACCTGAACATAAATGCCAGGCTTATAACTGACCTTTAATGAACATTTTAAAACTGAATTGAAACAGTTTTGCTGGTATTGCTTCATATGTAAATTTATAACCACAGTGCCTGCCACTTATCACTGTTCAACCATGGGAGGTGAATTTTCAACTCTCAAAGTCATAGAAACATAAAAGTCATTTTATGTTTTCAAAGATAAAATGATCAGTGATCTTGATCAGTCAGGTATATTATATTGGCATAATTAGTTTTTAAAAACAATATTTTTTGCAAGTTACACTCAATTTATATAATGAGAAGATTCAGAAATAAAGACATTAATATTATCAATTTCATTGCCTATGGTAGTGCCAGGAATAATCACTGAATAAGATAAACTGGATTCTAGGAATGTAAAATATGAAGAAATCCCTCCTCAGCCCCTGTAGGGGATTGAATAATGTATTTCCCCCCCAACCCCCACCCGCTCAAATTCATGTCCACCCAGAACCTCAGAATGTGACCTTATTTGGAAATAGGTTCTTTGCAAATGTAATTAATCAAGAATCTCACGAAATCATCCTGGATTTGCAGTGGGCCCTAAATCCAATGAATGGTATCCTGATAGGAAGAGCAGCGGACACAGGAGACACAGAAAAGAAGGTGATGTGAAGATGGAGGCAGAGGTTCGGAGTTATACTGCCACAAACCAGGAGCCACCAGAAGCTGAAACAGGCAAGCAAGGACCCTCCCCTGGAGCCTTCAGAGGGGGCACAGTCCTGCTGACACTTTAATTTTAGACAGCTGGCATCCAGACCTGTGAGAAAATACATTTCTGTTGTTTTAAGGTTGTGATAGTTTGTTACAGCAGCCCTAGGAAAATGCATTCAGCCCTCTGTATCCACAGGTTTTACATCCATGGATTCAACCAACTGCAGATGAAAAATATTTTTTTAAATCCCAGAAAGTTCTAAAAAGCAAAACTTGAATTTGCCACATGCTGAGCACTATGCTAATCCACACTAATGAAGTGATTTGGAGGCATATCATGCTGTAGCCTATATGAAATATAATGCCATTTTATATGAGACTTGAGCATCTATAGATTTTGGCATTGAATGGGGGGTTGAGGGTAATAGGTCCTGAAACTAATCCTCTGGAAGACACCAAGAGATGACTAATATACTCCCTAATCCTTGATTTTATTAAAATATCGAAAGCTCAACCTCTTTTCTCTCTCCTCGAGTCTCTCTGTAAAGTGAGGCTATTTCACAACATGACTTCATCTAAGGGCTCTTTCATCTTTGAGACCCCCTGCTCCATGGTTCTCGAACCTGGGGAGTCACTTGAGTATGTTATAAAAGGTTGATGCCTAGCTCTCACCACTAGAGGTTCTGATGGAACTGGTCAAGAAAGAGGCTGGGACACAGGTATGCTTTAAAAATCTATACAGGATTCTACTGTGCAACTGCCGAGAATTTCTCTAGGCACATACGAGTCCATTGCCTTGAATACTGGGGAATCTAATCAAGAGTACTCTCAGACAGCTGCCTTTCATTCTTTAATGACTATGTTAAATAAATATCATGACCCTATAATGTTGTGAGTGAATGCTCTGCTATAATGAGTAGCAGGCAGCAGGCCCAGTAGGTGAAGTCCCAGCAGCCTGATCCCTGCCACACAGGGCGAGATGATCTGCAATGGACAGTCCAGAAGCATATGGTGGTTCCTTGGTTTTGCATGACTTGGTGGCCCCTTGTTCCAGGTGTAGCAGGTAACATGTCTACTGATTCTTGTGCATTTCTGGGACAGGACAAATAAGGAACAGTTTTTAGTAAAGTCTCAGCAGTGGACGTATCATGCCACTGTACTTTGGCAGTCCAAAGTTGTCACTAGTCTTTTCTCCCAGGATAAATTTAGCCACCAATGACAACCTGGCCATCAAATGTTTCCAGATCTTTTCCAATCTGATGTAAAACTCAAGCATAATGTTTTGGGAAAGACTGCCCACAACCCCAAGTGGCACCTCTCAAATTTATGCTGACTTCCTACAAAGCTGCTAAATAGACATACCCTAGAATGACCTTGAATATTTCAGCTTGCCAAAGAATATCAGTGAGAAATGGCACAGTCAGGCAACGACTTTCAACACAGTTTGACCAAGAGAACCGATGTCAAAAGAATGAGAGGCTGAATGGATAGTCTCAGAGGCTTAATCTTCTTGAGATAAAAGCTGTGAGCCCTTTTCACATGGAGCTTAAGGAGATGAATTTTGCCAGGATAAGCACATGGGCTGGGAAAAGTACTGGTGGAGTAAATGACTGAATCCACAAGCATTTAAGGAAACTCCTTAATACTCTAATTTTTATTCATTTGTTTGACAAAATGAGTGCCCACTGTATACCAGATACTGTGTTAAGTGATGGGTTTTTATGATATATAGCATTTGCTAAAGCTAAAATTCACTTAACTCTCAAAGGTAAATTTAGTGTGAATACAAATAAAATTGCCAATGTGGGAAATTTCGCTTTGGGGGTATAAGTGGTTCAGAGGGAGACTTCCCCTCATAATCTAGGTAAGTATTGCTTTAATTCTGGCCTAAGTGTACTTAGATTTGCCCCTCTTTATAAAGGGCATACCTCTTGGTACAATCCACACTCAGAAATCCTTGCAAGCTGACCACCTCTCTAGGCCTAATGTAATAGAAAGGAAAAGTATGGCTGCATTCATCACTGTTCTCAAAAGCATCCTTGAGGAGCTGATCTTTTGTTGCTGATGTTTAATTGATCCAGACATTCTGATGCAGTTGCCCATCTTATAAAATGAAAGAGGTAGAGTAGTAGAACAGGAGTCGGGGGCTTAAATCCTGAAGTTTGAGTTCAACTCAAGATCCAACACACAAGGTATATGGCCTTGAGCAGGAATCAACCCTTGTAAGATTCTGTTGGACTGTCTGTAGAATGAGTTACTGATATTTACCCCACAGGGCTCTTTTGAAGATTACACATGATAGAGGCTTTGTGAGGGCAGGGACTCAGTCTTTTGCTGTCTGTGGTATTCCTAAGGTATACGATACGTGCAAATGATATACTATTTATAACACATAAAAAACCATATATTCATAGAGATCAACATTAATCTGTGATTTCTACTTGGATTCTTTAGTGTGAACAACTAGACTAGTAAAAGGGGTAGATTGTGTTAACAAGAACAGATCATACATGCTGTGGGAATACTTACTTAATTGTGTGTGTGGGTGTGTGTACACCTGGATTTCTACATGCACTATAGCACAGATTACAGGAGCTAGAGTTATGAAACTCATACTCTCCATAATGATGATTAACAAAGCAGATGCCTTCAAAGTGATAGCACACTCCTTAAGGATGAACCCCTTTTCCAAGAAGACCTACGTTGGGAGTGATAAGCAAAATAAGGAAGGGAATTAGAGAAATGAGAATGTTGGCACATTTTCTTTCTTTAATATGGACTGAGAATCACAGTCTTTTACCATTAGAAAGTAGATCATAGTTCCCAGAAATGAGAATTCCTTCCACAGTGCCCCTCTAGAGAGCAAGTTCCTGCCACAGTTCAAGGACCCGGCACAGAATCCCACATTTGGAATATACTCAGCTTGGTTTTGCTGATACGAAGAGCTAGAAAGTTTTTCCATTATTGAGCTGTTAATTCCTTCCCTGAAACACTCACTGAACTACACTCTACAATTATGCTCGTTTAACGTTCTGCCTTCTACACGGTGGTAGCCTGGCAAATTTTTAAAGATAGCTTTTGTGTGTTTCTCAGGTTAAACTTTCCCAGGGTCTTCATTATTCTGAAAATGTATAACCTCCTCAGAGCTTCCCCCTCCCCTTCATTCTGCCCCCCCTCCTGGTGCCTGCCCTGGATTTCACCCTCGCCTCTTTCTCTACTTTATCTCTTCTGAGAAAGTTGCAAAGCAAATAAAGTCACATAGAAGGACCCACACTGATGTAGAGTGCTTCAGGACCATTGAGAATTACTATTGTAACCAGCCGGTTATCAATTTGAAGAGTAGCTTTAATAAGCAAATTTCAATCACAGCATCATCTGGGTTTAGTTACACTAAAGTAAGCCAAAGTGTCTTTATAAAGCAATTTCATCTACAAGAGAGGTTCCCACGAAAAGAAACCACAGGAAAACATTGATGGTAATTTTAGTGTATTGATAAAACTTGTGCCCTCATTAGACTTAAGGTTTTGAAAAAACATTCCACATGTGTGTAAATTTCCCAAAACATGTTCCACACAACATTAATCCTATTGGCTGTTCATAGAAAGGATTCCATTTTCAAACAGAAGGTGAGTTATTTGACTTTATGTTCACACTTTTAAATAGTTCATTTACTGAAAGTCTTCTAAAAGTCTTCAACATGCTCTTGTGCACTGTGCATTCTGCCCAGGAGAGAGAGACCAGACAGGGTTTAGCCACAAGATATGTATTCCTTGCAGTATCTTCTGGGTGGAGCACTGCACAGAACACTTTTGGGGAAATGCTGCATCAGATCACCAACCGTGTTGAGGCAGCACATCAGGGGAGGACTGTCACCTAGTGATGAGGGAACTTGCAATGTTCTCACCTGTGTGCATGTAAGCAGAGACAGCTGAGCCTTGACCAGAGCAATCCCTAGGAGCCACTTCACCAGCTTTTTGTGATTCTTCTCTAAGGGTTTCTTCATAGGACTAATTAGAAATTTCAAAACTCTCTTCAAGTTTTAGGATAAGTAAACATCTTTCTGGATTCAAAGCAGTTGAGTTCTCTAGTGAAAATTTATCGCAGAAACTACTAGTAAGCACTAATAGCCAGTGGTCAATGAGGAATTATGCCAGTACTGCACCTCAGGAAGGTAAGCAGCTATCAGAATAACAAACAGGCTGGTGGTGCCCAGGCACTCTCCTCTGGTTTACTTTTTCTGTGGCGCAGCACCCCATCATCACTGCTTCTTTACCTCTTTCAGTTTACTTTGTGAGGTTCCTTTCAACTAGATGTCACTTGTTTGAAATGCTGGGGAGTGTGGGACCAGTGCATAAGACCAATACTACTACTAAGAGTCATAAGAATATTATTAGAAACTATAGCTAACATGTATGAGTGTGTCATACATGCGTGGCATGTTCACACACATGACCTTATTTAAACTTTAAGACAATCTTGCCAAGTGCTAGGTATGCCCGCTTTTCTAATACAGAGGCTCAGAGAGGTGAAGAAATGGGCAGGGAGTAAAGAGCAGACACTGATGGCTGATGCCAAAGCCCAGGCTCAACTGCCACATCTCCTCAACTCCCAGAGGACAGCCTCTGGGATATTCTTTTTCTTTGGAAGATCCTAGAAGGAATGCAGCCCATCCAAGCAAGAAAGCCTTAACAAAAGTGTCATAAAGGGGGAGGAAGAATTTATCTTAAATCAAATATATACTTGCCTTATTTTACCAAAGGCCAAATCTCCAAAGAATTATGACAAAAGATACAAAAATTTAATAAAGAGACGATGGTCAAGAACTTAAGAGATCAAAGCAGCTTCAATGACTGACATAGCAGCAGTATTAAGCAGAGCCAAGGTACATGAGACCTTCAAACATTAACTCCATGGGAGGTCCAATGGGTGTGGAGCAAAGAATGAAAAAAGTGTGGTGGTAAGAACAGAATGGCAATGCTCAAAGTAAATGGCTTTGAAAAGTTTTTCATATCTTGCAAGTTATTTTATGTCTAATACTTTGGCATATTTTTTAAACTGCCAACTATTGATAGATTGATGGCAGGTTGCTGGAATTACAAATTTCTTTAAAAATCTTAGTGGCAAAAAGCCCTTATTACTTCTAGGCTCATCATACCTTTTTCTGCATGAAGAGAAGGAAGATTTGAAACCCAGATACTTAACTATCTTACCTCTTATAAAGAAATTCTATGACATAGATATAGAGAACATATTCGTGGTTGCCAGAGACAGGGGGTGGAAGGTGGGTGAAATGGGTAAAAGGGGACAAAAGGTACAAATTTCTGCAAATTAAAATCACAATGAGATATTACCTCACACCTGTCAGAGTAGCTATTATCAATAAATCAACAAACAACGAGTGTTGGCAAGGATGTGAAGAAAAAAAACCCTTGTGCATTGTTGGTGGGATGGTAAACTGGTGCAGCCACTATGGAAAACTGTATGGAGTTACCTCAAAAAATTAAAAAATAAGACTAGCATATGACCCAACAATTCCACTTCCGGGTATTTATCCGAAGAAATCTAAAACACAAATTTAAAAAGATATATGCACACCTATGTTCATTGCAATATTATTTACAAGAGCCAAGATATAGAAGCAACCTAGTGCCTATTAATAGACGAATGGAAAAAGAAGTGGTACATATATATAATGAAACATTATTTGGCCAATGAAATCTTACCATTTGCAACAACATGGATGGACCCAGAGTAATGTATTTTGCTAAGTGAAATAAGTCAGACAGAGAAAGGCAAATATCATAAGATTTCACTTATATGTGGAATCTAAAAACAAAATAAACAAAGTAGAAACTAACTCAGACACAAATTGGTGGTTGTCAGATAGGAGGGGCTGGGGGAATGGGTGAAAGAAATGAAAGGGATTAAGAAGTACAAATTGTCAGTTATAAAAATAGTCATAGGAATGTAAAATACAGCATAAGGAATATAGTCAATAATATCGTAATAACTAGGTATTGTGTCAGATGGGTACTAGACTTATCGGGGTGATCACTTCATACATTATATAAATGTCTAATCACTATGTTGTATACCTGAAACTAATATAATATTGTATGTCAACTGTAATTGAAAACTAAATTTTAAAAAAGGTCAAAAAAGAGGCATAAATTTCCAGTTATAAATGTCATGGGGAGGTAATGAACAGGATGGTGATAAGGTTAATAATACTGTACTGCATATTTGAACATGGCTAGGAATGTAAATCTTAAAAGCTCTCATCACAAGAAAAAAAATTTTTTGTAACTGTGGTGATAAATGTTAGCTAGACTTACTGTGGTGCTCATTTCACAATGTATACAAATATCGAATCATTATACTGTACACTTAAAACTAACAGTGTCATATGTCAATTATACTTCAATAAAAAAATTCTATGAGAAAATAACATTTGCATTAATTTTGGGGAGAGTCTTCTACTTGCAGCAAGGGATGACTGGAAAGAATACGTAAGAGACAAGTAAGAATAGGCAACTAGAACACTTCCGGGTTTCTCCCCAATAAGCCTTTATGATTTTAATTTTAACTGAAATAAATTCAGAGGTCATTAGATACTTCTACATTCAAAGGTAAATGCAAAAGGAAAGTATCTAAATGATGTCTTGGTTATTTGCAGTTTGGGGTCATCTACACTTCTATTAATAAAATAAATAAAGAGGGAACTCTACCAGAGTTTTCTCAAAATAAAGAATAAAAATGCAACAAACATATCATTGGGAAATATTTAAAAGAAAACTTCTGTATTTTAGAGTGAAATATTATCTGATGCAGAATATATAAATTGCTCTACTATAAATTCCTTTTTCAAAACCAGAGTTCATCATAGAAACATGGTTTAAAAAATTAATCATCAGTCCATGAATTGTGTTGCCATAAAAGAAAGCCATTCCTTTCTGCATATAAACAACAAAACTACCACATATGCAGATGCATGCCTTAGTACCTTGGTGCAATGGTGTATTGACTTGTATAAATATTTAAAGTCAGACCTTTGAATTTATAATGAAGTAGCACACCACTTTACTAAATAAGGTACAACTAAATGTAGATGTACAACAAATAGAACTCTGTTCAGAATACTAATTGCTGCTGTCAATATTCTAAAACTAAAAAAAGTAATGATATTCAGATTTCATCTAAACAAGCCTAATACATGTGCAGAAATCTTAACTGGTCTTGGAGAAACCTTATTGCTCAAATTTTTAAATTATTAGACAGGCTTTGTAACTGAGGGACAAGCAAGCTTCCTGTCTGGCATTCCCTCCCCCGCCCGTGCTCTTATTTTAATGATGCATATTCAATTATCACAAGAAAGAAAAGAGTAAAATCAGAAACATCTGTAGTTTGCCATAATGACTGGGTATTCCCTACAGAGACTGACCTTTCCACACAGACGCAGGTGCTGAAAGGCTACGTGATGGGGGATGCTCACATGTGTAAATATATAAGATGATTATAAAGAATTCAATAGACATGATTATTTTCTACCTTAGTTTGTGTTAATATAAGCTTGCAGGTTATGATCATGTGTTCTTATGATTAATCTTCTGCTCCAGCATGTGAGCATGTAGTTGAAATATATCTGCTCTTAGCAGAGTCCACAAACCACTAACCTAGGATGTTCTGATTATATAATAAGGTTGAATCCTGTGTTTGAAACTCTTAGGCAACTATAACTTTACCTGTGATTGGAATCTTTGCTGCCATGCTTTCTTCCTTGCTCTCGTCTCTGCAGCCACTTGAAACTTCTAAAAATCAAACACATGATAATAAGAATGTATTTCAGGGTTATATTTATGGTCTATATACTTACGGTCTTTTTTTTTTTTTTAACTACCATTCCTCTTATTTTCATTGCCTTCCTACTTTCTTTTTTTTTTTTGGTTAGTTTATTTCTTGTCTGACAGCTATCAAATTTGAGTGAGGCTTAAAACAAGTGAGCCTCAAATCTTGTGCATGTATCTCAACTTCTGAATACATCCTTAGCAACTCATAGCTGTCTTGGAAGTACCACTATAGTGATTTACTGGAGGGTCTTAACAATAATGCTCAAATGATCACAATTTCTGGATACTAAAAATTGGTTTTTAAATTTTGGGGGGCATAAATTCATTGATTCTTATCTGTTCAGGCTTTTGTAAGGTTGTATTATAATTTAAAAAGCATGTTTAAAAATTATGAGTAAATTATGTTAAGTGATATTAAAAACTTCACACAGTACTTTATGTGAAGTACTTTATGGAGTCATTTTAATGGAATCATCTTCATCTTTGTAGGATAATCAAAATTATCTACTGCCAAGTGATTAATTTTAAGATTTCATAACTTATAAAAACTTAATTTATTTGAAGTTCAGCAGAACTGCAGACCTACAATTAGGTTTCCTATTCTTGTTAGACTAAACAAAATTATATATTTATTGGAAGGGGCATAAAACAAATAACATATTATACATATTAAAATCAGAGGTATTCGCTAGTCCCCTTTATTTTATAGGTATACCTTGAGAAAGAGGGTGTCGCGTTGACTCTGAATGCATTTTTGCTGTGGATAGACCCTTTAACAATAGTTACCTTGTTCCCTTGTAAGAACACTGTTCAGCCACAGAGCAGGTTTTGCTTCCTTTATTCCACTATTGTCATTCAGAATAGATGGCAAGCTGCAAGATGATTCATTACTGTGAATAGCCGACCTATCCTCACACTCGTCTGTAAGGGTTCTTTTCAATAATGCTGTTGCCTATAGTGTTTAAAAGAAAGTACAAAGAAATAAAAACAAACTGTAGCTACATTCCCGTTGGTCTCAAAGACCCAGCCTTCAAATATAATTTTAGGTTAAGCTTTACTTAGGATTTAATTTGCTTCCTGACATTTAACAGAAATTAAAATGTCTTCAAGATAAAATAACGTCTGATTATTTTCCAGCAGAATTTAATTCTTTACAACAACTCACACCAGAAATAATATATTGAGGACTGAATCTTATGTAATACAAAACTGTTCTCCTACTTGTCAAGTATGTATATGAGATATGACCACTCCTGCTAATCTGGGCTGGTTTATCCAAGATTTTCTCTCTCATTGCATGAATCTTTTGGTTTGAATAAAGAAGTGATCTGAAAAAATGTGACCTCGTGGTATCCCTATCTTTCCACAAATAACCCCTGAACTTTCCCCAAAAGTTACAAAAAAAACCTTAGTGGTTGAGGAGGGGCCATTAAGCAAAAAAGGAACTGACTTTGTTCTAAACCATAAGAATAAAGATACTCTGAATTTTGCTGCTAAGTCCACTGAACTTGGGAAACTTACCTGTCACACTGCTTATCTGTTTTCAAAGAGCACTGAACTGTCTTACTCATATAACTTCAACTGGGTGGACAAAGATTTCATCACAGCTGACTTGAGAGGTAGTGAAAAAGTGGCAATTAACAGGACAGGTTAATAATACCCATGTCTCTTAATTTCCAGGTCAGCGCTCTTAAAAATATATTGGTAACAAGAGCAGAACAACCAATGATGACATCATCCTGCTGCCAGAATTACTACTTGGAAGTGGTGATTTCCCCAGGCAATTGGGAATAGAAACCTTGGTGGTGGTGTTGACCTTTATTGGTATTTGACAACAGTAGTAAAGCCAGGGCAGTGTCCAATCCAGCCTGTGGGAAATGGAGGTGAGACTCTATACATTCATATGAAGAGTGGAACTGGATAAAACCTGTCATTGTTAGTCCAAGAGTGAAGCAGTAACAACTTAATTATCTAGTGAATAAAGGGGAAAATAATAATCTTTCCTTGTAATTTACATGAAAGAAGGCAAAGATAATCTGAAAGGGAGAATCACTGAAGCAGAACATGGAAGATCTGGCCTTGCAAGTTTGTCTTTGAACATACAGGGCTATTGCCATCATCCCTGATATCCCTGCAAAGCTCCTGCCCTCTGCCTCCCCTAGAACTGGCTGGCCTCCTGGGTCCACGGTCTATCCTAGAGGCTAGAGCAGCCAATTTTAGGGGATTTAGGGAGTTCCAGTGTCCTTGGCCAAAGGACTTAGTGTCAAGTTAGCCCTGTAGCCAGAACCTGTGGTCCAATTCTATAGTAACCAGGAGCCTTTCTGTTATTTGTACAAAGTTGTTTCTGGATTTTATTCCAGTTGTGATATTTCTCTGTTGGGGTGATCTGCACAATATCCCTGTTTCTGCAGACTGGAGTTAAGTATAGAGTCCTGCCCTTGAAGCTCAGTCTGACTCTCACCATTGGCTGCCATAGAGCCTCAATCTCAGCTATCCACGTAGGCCACTGTTCTGCACTTGCTTCCAGAACCTGTGCAGGAAAAGAGGGGTGAAGAGTAGTACCAGCTCCTTCAACTGCCATCTCTCTACCATCACTGAGCTCTCTGGACCATCCTGGTGTGTCTCATTTCTAGATATCTACCCATCCTGATCTAGGCTGTCCCCACAGAGAATTAAGCTCCTATTCTCATGCCCAATAATCCTGGGTATATGAAAAGCATTTAACCCATTTCCCATTTTCCCTGGCAGTATTACTCACTGGCAGTATTTGTGGCTGCAGCATTTTACTGCAAGATAATTTGCAGATTACAATCCTAACCTTACCCCTAAAGTTTGCCACAAAATATTTCACTTTTATTATTACTTTTGCATAGTTCTAGTATATTGATGGTCTTTAGAAATAAATGACATTGTTCTATTTATAGCATTCTGGTTTTAGTAGTGATATTTCCATTTATAAAATATAGTAATTTTCGATCACTGAAAATGTCAAATTCTTGAAAACGTAGCATTCCTATGTGTAATGGTAACATCATTCTAGAAGTTAGCTGAAGATTCATTTGATGAATCCAATTTATGTATATGTTTCTGTTACGTTAGGATTAGAGACAAGTTCTGTTTAGAAATAACTCCAAGAATAGTTTTTATATTTCATTTTCACATTGAAAACCAGTCAGATTCAGCCTCAAAGAGCTTGTTTATGTAAAATTAAATTAACGCTGGCAGTGAGCAGCATTTTTTTTTCTAAACAGGAAATGGATTAAAATATGAACAAAAAGAATTGGCCCAAATTCTGTCATGAAAGCTATAATTTTCTCTTTCTGGGATTTAAAATAATCCAGACTTTCTGAAAGTACTTCAAATATTTATTTCTCCCTCATATTAATTACCTTATGCAATAGCTATAACTAATAATTTCTTGGCATGACTTCATAATAGCCACTGTCTTAACACACATTTTAAAAATAAAATTGTTAAAAGACTGTTGAAGCTTTCCATACTTTTTAATGTAGAATTTTCAGACAATGGAAAACTGTTTCGGATTGTCAATAACTCAGATAACTTATCACTAGTCTATCAATGATGACACATAATTTATGTTTTGCATATTCCTTTCATATTAGACCTTCTTTTGCTTTCGCTATGTTCTACCTGAGTTTCAAAGGAACACAGAATAAAATGCTATAACAATACTGCAAATGTCTTTCTAATAAGTCCTTGTATGCATGATAAGAATATCACCACAGCCAATAGTTCTACAAAAAGTAAAGTGGTGAGTATACTGTAGGTTTTCATTTATTTCATATATTTTATCCCACTTATCTTCACTACTCATTATTATGTCTCTAGAATTCCTCTTTTGTGATAAAGATGTTTATAAAGATTCATCTTTTAAGATAATTCTATAGTTAATTTCTCAAAGATGAATATTTGATATCTATATGAATTTTGATGAATAATCAAATTACAACATGAGAATGGTTAACTCTACTGAACCACAGAGCCAACAGAGAGAGCAGCAGATCTGCCTAATAGATCATCACCAGTCATAAAGGAGTCTACAATGTAAGTCCCTAACAAGCAGGGAATAATGAAAAGAAAGGACAGAAACAAAAGTCAGCCTCAGACAAGGAATGGTCATAAGGTTTCTAGTCACAAACAACTTCTGCAGAGTCAGGAAAAACATCTGTATTGTCTGCAGATCTTTTTGAAAGGTGTATTTCTAAGGAAGCCCCCAATCTGAAGGAGCTTGCAGTCTGAGACTGACAACACTAACTCACACCACCAATGGAACAAAAGCCCAAAGAAGAGTGAATGAGATGCTTTACACATCTCATGCTGGGTCTGAAAGCACTCTGCAAATTCGAGCTTTCTATCTGAAAAACGCTACCAGACAACAATTTTACTGATAGTGCTTATGAACAGACTGCACATCGGTTTCAATTTATCTGTTAGCTAATAAAGACTCATTTTGATTTCACACATTTGGAGGCCAGGAGGGAAGACTGGAGACTGTCTCACTGTTCTCAGCAGTCTGAAGCCTAACTCCAACACAACAAACTAGTCCCTCAGTTTTCTGCCTTCCCAAGAGCCAGCAGAAAAGACTCAGAAATTCAATGCTAAGGCACATACTATTTGCAAAATGATTCATGGTGATACTTCCAATATTTCAGATCTTACAGAAGATAAACTGTCCTATGAATTACACTTAGCAGGATACCTAGAATTATTGGCTCAATTCTACTAAGATTTTTCTCAAAGTTCAGTTTAAATATGGATCTTGCTAGGTCTAGAACCCTAAGACTCATGTAGGCTGACTCTTAATTTATATCCAGACACTTTTCAATTGTAATACTCAATTGCATAGATACATATTAATGGAAAAGACTTTGTATCCAAAACACCATTAAGAAAAATGAAAGGTAAGAATCAAACTGCTCAAAATATTGCAACAAGTTGTACAAATTTATACAAAAAGAGTTCTTACAAGTCAATAAGAAAAAATATATTACTAATCTAATAGAAACATGAGCAAAGAATATGAACTAGCAAATTATAAAAGAAATACAAATAGGTAGGGGAAAAGTTTGACCCCAATTGTAATATAAAGGTCAAAAGAACAACAAAAAAAAAATTGGATGTCATTTGCACTTTGCAATTTGGTTCACACACACAAAAAAAGTTGATAGTATCCGGTTTCATAAAGGGCTCTGAAAAATGATATTTTTACCCATCCATAGTAACTCTGATGACCCTTCCAGAGTGAGATCTGGCAGTGCATAGCAAATGCCTGAGAGATGCATGTACCCTTTGACCTAACAATTTTATATGTAGGAATTTATTCTAAGGAAATAGCATGGATATTTGTAAAAATTGAATTGCTCAGATGTTCTTTAAAACTTTTTACTAGAGGAAAAATTAAAAATAACTTGAACACTTAACAACAGGAGCCTGGTTAAAGAGACAGTGGAATATCTGTACAGGGGTCTCTGAGCAGCCATTTGAAATGATGTAGAATATGTGATGGTATGAAAGGAAGTCTCTTGTGACAGGTGAGGAAAAAAAGATACGTACACAAACAGTGCAACTCATGTCAATATATTAAATATTAAAAATCATATGCCACAGTGTCAAAAGGTTAAATATGGAGAATCAGATAACAGGTAATTTTCTTTTCTTTTTGTTTACCCTAACATTCTGAGTTTGTTTTTACCATACTAATTTTTTTAAGGAAAACGTATGCCAGTTCAAAAAAAATGGATTTCTGTGATGGGTGGTACAAACAAAAAGAAAGTGAATGTGAAAATGTTTAATAAAACTGAATTCCATTCTATGTGTAAATCAGTGCTAGTAGTGCAGACACAGAAAGGCCAGATAATTAAAAACCATGGATGACATTTCCCCCTAATACACATATTTAACTGACTCTTTCTCAAGAACCTCTTTCTTGTACACTGGAAGTAATTTTTCAGTGTTTAAAGAGAAATGAAAGCATCTCCACTTAAGTTATATTTAAGTTATAGGATGGGAAGGGAATTTTATCTATGTAGCATCAAAACAAAGAGAAATTACTCTTCTGAGCCAGCAAATGAGTATTCAAGAGATAAGAGCAAGAAACCAGCCCATCATTTAGGGAGAGATAAAGGAATTTCTGTGACCAGTCACATAAATATCTGGTGCATGTGTGGTAGGGGCACTGGGCAAACCTACTCTACCAGTGGCACCAGCAGGTGTCACTCTGCTTTGCCTGGAGAAGTTTCCTCCAGGGGGGAAACAGGTATCACTTAGGAGAAAAAGAGTATTAAGACACTTTATATTTTACTGAAGCACCCAATTCATTTTTTTCACATAATTACAAATTTTTCTGTTTTAAAGCATGCAGCTGAATTATGTAATTGCCTCACAGGTTATGTAGGTGCTGTGGATCTTATCTGGTGTCAAGGGGACATAATCCGAGTTTCCCGGCTTTAATGATGTATTTACTCAAGAGACAGATTGACTCCTGCTGACAGCAAGGGGACTCACAGGTAAACATCATTTACATGTGGCTGTTTAATTAGCCATTTACCCAAGAGATCAAAGTAAACATTTCCGAGCTTCATTAGACTCTTAACCAAGTAATTGCTAGTAGAGCTTTCTTAAATTTGGAAAATCTCTTACTTTTAAGAATTTTATCCAGAGAAATACTTAACCCATACTATTTACTAAATATATGTACTGTAAAAGGATGATGCATAAACCAAAACAGTCCTAGAACCCACACCCACAAAAGTATTTTGGACTAAAGCTCGCAAGGCTTGCCCTGCCCATGTCATCGATAATATTATTCTTCTGGACTGTGCATTTCTTCAGTCATAACCTAACAGTTTGTGAAACTGCTTGCTTACTTCCATCTTTAAGGATAGATTTTGTCTTAATTTACTGGTAATTTTTATGATTGTCACTAAGATCAGATCATGATGATTTAAAAAGAACAAAGCAGACTATCATTTGATTCCTAAGTTATTAGTTGAGCAGCCCCCTCATTAATAATGAAGTTATAATTTAAAAAATTACAAGTGAATTGGTTGTCTAGAACCTAGAACATGTTTTTAAATGTAAACAACCCCCCTTTTTGTTTATTTATTTTATTTATCATGGTGACATTGGTTAATGAAATTCAGTAAGTTTCAGTGTACAATTCAACAGTAAGGCATATAAATTGCATTGTATGTTCACCGCCCATAGTTAGATTTCTTTCTGTCACCACATATTTGACCACTTTTACCACATCTACCTCCCCCTCCTCCCTCTTAAAAAAAAAAATGATTAGATAGCAAAGGGCACTCAACCAAGACTTATATCACCCTTGACACAGATGAGATGTGATGTATTTGCACTCAATGTAAATGGAAAAACAATGTTGTTACAAAATAGCAATAAATTAAATGGACAATGAAACCTGAAAACAAAATCCTTTTTAAGATCTACGTTTATCAACAGATATGAAGTGGATCTAAAAAACACAGGTTCTGTTATTCCTAAAGAACGCTGTTATTTCTTAAAGAACATTCACACAAATGGTATCATATCTCAACCAAAACAAAACTGTATGTTATTTATTGAGTCACACACAATGCAGTAAAAATGAAAATGTATGCAGGAAGGATATACACAAGGTTATTTTTGAAAAGGAGCATGGGATCCTTGAGAGGCACACAAGGGCTGTATCTGCAGCTATAATAATTTATTACAGAAGGAAAGTGGGGAGGAAGGAGGCTAGAGGAGGAAGAGGAGAAGGAGAAAAGGAGCGGGGAGGAGAGAAAGAGTAGGAAAAGGGAGAGAAGGGGGATAAAAGGGGGAGAGAGAGAGAACATGACAGAAGGAAGGAAAAGGGAGAGAGGAAGTAGGAAGATGGAGAGAAGGAAATTGAGGATGAGGAGGTCTGAAACAAAATATGGTACGATGGTAACAATACATATGGATTTTGGTTGGTAGACATGGAATTGGTGGGTTCATTATATCACTTTATGTATGTATGTTTGATATACTTTAAAAAAGTCCTTCTACTCTCTTGTAATTTAAGTGGCCAAGGAAAGGGGGTGGGGTCTTGAGAAGGAGTAAAGGTGCTCTGAAAAGCTTAAGGGGCAATGGCAGAGGCTCTGAACCACACAGGGACACAGGTGTGTGACTTCGAGACAGAGGTGGCAAGGTCTGCCTCCAGGAGGCACACATGTAGAATCCTTGAACTATATGCATGATGAAAATAAAAAGTTAAGGCACAAAATGTTCAAAGTGATGAAAATCCAAGATCTACACCAAGATCACTCTACCCAGCAAAGCAATCATTTAGAATTGAAAGACAGATAAAGAGCTTCCCAGAAAAGAAAAAGCTAAAGCAGTGCATCACCACCAAGCCTACGGTATTACAGGAAATGTTGGAGGGACATCTTTAAGAAGAAAGAAATATGTATCAAAAATATGAATAAAGAATGGCAATAACTACATATCTATCGACAAGAACCTCAAATGAAAAGGAATTCAATGCTCCCATCAAAAGATAGGGTGGATGAATGGCTAAGAAAACAAGACCCTTATATAAGCTGCCTACAAGAGACTCACTTCAGATTAAAAGACACACACGGACGGAAAGTAAAGGGATGGAAAAAGACATTTCATGATGGACCTAGAGGGTACTGTGCTGAGTGGAGTGAGTCAGATAAAGACAAATGCCATATGATTTCATGTACAGATGGAATCTAAAGAACAAAATAAACAACAAAAAAACCAGAAACAACTCATTGATACAGAGAACATTTTGGGTTACCAGAGGGGAGGGGGATTGAGAGGGTAGGTGAAAAATGGGGAAGGGATTAAGAAGTACAAATGGATAGTTATAAAATATTCATGGAGGTATAAAGTATGGCATAAAAAATATAGTCAGTAATATCGTAATAATTATATATGGTGTTGTATGGGTACTATATTTACTGGGGTGATCAATTTGTGAGTTATATAGAAGTCTAATCACTATGTTGTACACCTGAAACTAATATAATATCGTATGCCAACTATAACTGAAAAATAAAAAATATTATTACAAAAGAAAAAGAAAAGTTAAAAAGGATCAAAGCCAGAAAACTCTATATTATGTATATGGATGAAAAAACATACTTTGAAATAAGACAAATTCATAAGACATTAAATTTAGGAGAAGATTAGGAGAAGACCATCTCTTTTACTATGGCATTTTTAGGTAATGACAAAAACTGTGATGGGAATGCTCTAAAAGTGGGCTTCTGGTTCCTCCCTTGTGCTTCCCTTGGAAATTTGCTCCATCAATTTCCATTTTCTGTTCAGCATCTTCATACTTTTCCTCTGTACCAGCTCCTAAGTCAGGCCTCTCCTTGTCTGTCTGAACCTCTGTGGGGCTCCCTCCTCTGTGGTCTCAATCTTAATCCGAGCAGATAAAATTCCCCAAGGCACTGCAGAATCTTATTATAGCCCTGCTTAAAAAACTCACGGCTTTCTCAAATCTAGTAAACTAAACACAAGCTCCCTAGCCTAGGCTGGACCCTGCACAATTGGGCCTGGCCTACCTTGGGCATTCTCACCCACCATCCACATTCTAGAGCCTATGCTTCAGCCACAGAAGATGACTCCAGCTCCGTTTCCTGGATACATGTTGGCTTTTCCAGTCTGTTCTTTGACTCATAACAGCTGTTCGCTGTTGCCCCACCCTGTCAAAATCCTGTCAGTCTTTTAAGGATCACCTCATGTCCCTCTGTTCCCTCCATAGCAAAGTTTGCCCTCATTCCTTCTCCAGATGTCTTGGCTCCCTTTTCTGAAGGGCCATATTCTTTGCCATTTTCTTATTACACTCATCCCACTATGCCTTTCCCCAGAATTGGGCCATATTTTATTTATCTCTTTTCCTCCAATGGATCTGGGCTGGTGCCTATCTACAGAAATGGATCAATACATATTTGTTGAATTGTCATGAATGACCAACCATACAGTATTTTTAAAGTACAGAGTAAAGAAAGAAAATCAGAATGCTACAAGAAAATGTGGAAAATGTGGAAAGTGTTGTGGTAGCTATGTTTAATCAGGTTGCCTCCAGGACCTGAATTAACTTTATGTGAGGAGGCAAGATTCATATACAATATGCAAAAGGCCTAAGATCAGAAAGTTAAACCACAAAAACTCACTTATTACTTAATATTTTTAAAAAATATGTTAATCATTGTTAAGAATGTAACAATTTCCTCAAATCAGTATCTCGTACATCTTGAAACTATTTTTAAAAAACGACCGACCCTTACCTTCTGGTCCATGTTTCTGAGTGGGAAAACTTCGGACAGCTTAGCTATCTCTTCTTTAGTAGAATTATCATGTTCTTTCAAGGTGACAACACATTGACCCAATTGTGCCCTCATTAAGCCTGAGGCTGGTGCTTGTTCAGATCTATAAAACAGAAACAGGAGACACATTAGAGATTTGTAAGACTGGTTACTTATGAGAGTCCCACATTTTTAAAGCCCCATTATCAAGTTAGTAAAAGATAGGTTATCTAGAAAAGCCTGGAACCCAATTTATTATGGACTAAAGAAATTTCTAGAGTCCAGGTCTCTTTTTTTAAAAACTTTTATTTTATTTTTGTTTTGCTTTCATCGCTAGATGAGTGTTCCAAACTTTGACTACATAGTGGAACCACCTGTGAAGCTCTGTAAATTCTAAGTGGCTGGTGCCATCCCCACAGAGTCTAGTAAAATTAGTCTATGGTATGGCCCAGCCACCACAATTTTTTAAGGCTCACAGAATGTTCTAATGTGAGGCCATAGTTTCAAATCACTGCATAGAAGACCAGGCTCCTCTTAAATGTGGTTAACAAAGATAGATCACATTTCTATCTTAACAATAGCTTATCCTTGTTATATTCTTACTATGGTCTACTTACAATTTTTTAAAAATTAATATATTATTAATAAAATTAAATATACTTAGGAAATAGTTTAAAAAATTAATATACTTAGGAATAAGTTAAAAAATAAGCCTATATTGCTGCCTAGGCTATCGTGTTTAGATACTAAAAGGAACCAGGGCCCCTTAGAGAAATTCCCTATTCCAGGTCTGGGGCAGGAAAGGCACAAGATGAGCCTAAAACACATTGTCAAACCAGAAAGGAAGGAAATCACCAAAGACTACTGAGTCACGTCAAAAGCCTCAGGGGCTATCTTGGAGGGGCTCCCACTGGCCAAAGATTGGGCAATTTGAGCACCAAAAAGAATAATGATTGCAATGGACTGATACAAATAATATATAAAAATCCACAACTTCTTTTTAAAAAATAAATAATAAAAATAAATTTTAAAAATTAAAAAAAAAATGCAGCTTTAAAAAGGAGAAATGTGATCACATGCTACTACATGGATGACTCTTAAGGACATTATGCTAAGTGAAATAAATTTGTCACAAAAATTAATATGTGATTCCACTTACATAAGGTACCTAGAGTACTGAAATTCACAGAAAGAGAAAGCAGAATAGTGATTGCCAGGGTCTGAAGGAAGGAGAAATGCAGAGTTGTTAAATGGTATAGATAAGAGTTTCAGTTTTCTAAGATGCAAAAGTTCTGGACATTGGTTGCACAACAATGTGAATGTACTTAACACTACTGAACTTTACATTTAACAGTGGTTAAGATGATAAATTTTATGTGGTAATGTTTTACCACATAAAAATGTGGTAATGTTTTACCATAACTAAAAAATATAAACAAACCTTTGGAGGCTGCTAGAGCAATAATTCGTTATTTTGAAAATTGGTAAGTAAAAGGATGGAATCGCACATTTATCCTGCCTTTGTGGAAAAATAATGCATTTCGGAGTTACCAAGTAGTTGACGGGGAAAGTTCTCCCAACTAATAAATGCAGAAGAAATGAATAAATCAGAATAGTGACTATGTAGAAAGTGCAAATTAATCAAAGCATCTAAGAAATGATCATAATTTTGTGACTGTACCCAGGAAATTTTATATTAGAGGTATCAGTCTGCCCATGCTCGAAGCCACAGATTAGTACTACAAACAATGGGATGACCCGACATCATATGCTGCCTGAGGAAGTGTAATAAGAAGTACAAGCATAGCCTATGATATCATCTTGCCAAATTAACTGGTGTGGTATATCATCTTATATCTGGATGTAACCACCAGTTTACAGATAATATCATTTGGATCCTGATTTAAACAAAGCAAATATAAAAAGACTTTTTTGAGATAATCAAGGGAAACTGACAAGGACTAGGTGTTAGATAAAGAAAAGTTAAACAGTAATGTATTAAATCCTTTTATGTTAGAGATATAAGTATTTGTGAGTCTTCGTGAGTGAAATATGTTGTCTGTTTTAAACTACTCAAGGAAAAAAGTGTGAGTGAAGGTACATGGGAGTTCATTATACTGTTATAACTGCTTTTGTGAATATTTAAAAATTTTCAAATTAAAAAGTTTTTTAAAAGTATACTTAAAGTCTGCAATTTACTTGGAAATGCATATAATAAGAGATTGAGATGGATAGATGGAAGGATGGAGAGACTAAATAGACTAAAACAATGTCGAAGGTAGAATCTAGTTGGTGGATATGGATGCTCACTGTACATAAAGTTCCTTTTACTTTCCTGTCTGCTTGAAAATTTTCATAATACATTTTTAGGGGGGAAAAAAGTAAGTCTAAGTACAATTCAGAACCTTCTTTAATAAATCTTAATTGTTATAACCTTTATCTGATCTATTAACTCCAGTTTTTCCCAATACTTGAATGAAGTGCAGTGCATCACTAGAATCCCTGAACTTATTTAAAACTTTCTCAGAATAATTCTAAGGTTTCTGACTGGTTTGGTAGAAACGACTTCAGCAATTTGCCTCTCTTGGTTCCGTCCAGACCTCACTGATGTCATAATGCCATTCAATTCCTTTGTTCTGATTCTATGTAAATAAATTTATAGTTGCATCTGTATTTTATTTCACAATAGAAAATGTACTCACAGGCCACCAGCATATTCTAGTCTATTCAGCTGGTATATTTTTCATAATGAGTAAATCAACTGTGTTTCTGGCCCGAAAGCATGCTTAGCTAGATGAAATTAAACTTAAAAATAGGTTGAATTAGGATGAATTAGTTAAATTAGTTGGGATGGATTAATGATCAGAGCCCAGCCTTTTTGGTGACTCTGCACATGATTTCTGCAGAGGCAAAGCCAAGACAAGACTCCGGTTACTAATATATCCTCCAACTGTAACCATCCTTTGGGTCCTGGCATGAAAGAACTAGTGAAGGTTTTCTATAATTATTATACATATTTAACAAAAAAGATAGAACCCATTAATTGACTTGAATGGGTTCAAACAGCAAATGAACTATCAAAGAAGGTATAGCGTCTAGAACTTACAACTTCTGAACAGCTAAGCCAACACCTAAAACACAAAACGAGGCTTCCTTGCAGATTTTTTTCAGGACAGATTGGGCAAGGAATGCAAGAGCCATGGCCATCTTTGCATGGAGTCTTGGTTCTATGTAAACCCACCAAATCAGAAAATTTGCAAAGCACTACAGAGGACTTAAAGGAATTTTTTCTCTTTTGTCACTTTGCATTGGAAAATTTATACTATTAGTGTCACATAGAAAAAAAACGAAGTTTGATGTCAGCTAAATTATATATTTCTCTAATTAAAAATATAATAAAAGAATAGGGATCACTTTGTAAATCATATAAACGCCTAACCACTATGCTGTACACCTGAAACTAATACTGAATGTCAACTTTAATTGAAAAAATAAAACTTAAAAAATATATAATGAAAGAATAGACTTTAGTTGATAATTAATTTCATATACTTGGAATGGCTGCTAATCAGAAAACTGCAATTTAAACAAATGTACCAGAATTTCCTAACTACAACTGCTTTACAATAGATTTGCAATTTGACCAAAGTTTTAAATGTATACAAAGTAACAAGTACCCTGAATTTTTATTCTGAACATAAGCAGAATACATATTATACTCAAAACAATATAAAGCTGACTCAGTTTTTCAGCCTGAGTTTGAAAGCACAACAGGGCAATTGTATCTGAAAGTAACCACTAACAGAGACAATTAGATGCACCTGGAAAAAAAATAAAATAATGGGTAGTCTGATTAGAGTTTTCATATAAGATAAAACTTATTAAGTAATCATTTTTATGTTAAAATGTTTTCCAGAAGACAGCAAATTTTTATCAATTATCCCAAATGATATGAATCATATTTTAATAATTGATAATTGTCTAAAATGACTGTCCTTCAAATAAGAATAAACCTTTCATATGAAGATCATTGAACACTTAATCCTTGATATAATAAAAATCAATAATGATGATAGGAATTTTTTTTCTTTTTTCTAAGATGCTTCATTTTGTGAGCAGGAATTCAGAAGTCTTCACAATATCTTTTAGTACATACTAGCTATGGGACAGATGTTCATGTTACAGATGAGATTAAAGAGACAGATATTGACTGCCATGGGTTGCTCAGGGGCACAAGCAGGGCCACTGCCACATCAAACATGGCTCTAAACAGGCTTTTACGAGTTCGTAACCTATTAAAGCCTTCCCACTCTTCCTGGCTTAGAGTTCTCTGACATGAGGGTCATTAACAATTAAGGTATAAAAGTAGATCATTCTCTCCAAATCTGTGTTTCTGAAATGGTTTATCAAATTGACAAGTGGACTGCTTTGGTCCAGAGGAGACCGCAAAGCAGACAGGAATATTTCATTTACGTGAGTGCAGAGCAATAACTCCTGGGGGCTGAGGGGCACAGGGCGTGCCTAGATCAAGGAGAACATAGGGCAGCCTGATGCCATGATTAAAAGCCTTTAGAAAGAATTTGTATTTAAAGACCTGACTGCTCATCTCTCAAAGGTCGTATAAACACTCGGCACTTTTTCCGAGGCAAGAGAGTGAACCAGCAACAATCAGTGTGCATTAATCAGCATCCCCAGTCACACATAGGGCAATTCTAATTGTAAAAGAAGAAAACATTGACCTTAGTAACCATTCTTGACTTCTTTATTTGGCTTTAAAAAATGATTGTGGTAAAGAAACAGTCTTGAAAGCTCTAGATATTAATTTTAAAATTTGTGTTGGTCATAAACAAGGATCATTTCTTATGGAAGGCTGATTTATATATAACTGTAGATCAATAGTCATATAAAATGCAATGGAAATGGAATGGAAATCAATGCTTTATTATGCATGTTGAGAAACTATAACAAACTTTAGTCTAGTAGATGTAGATATATCTTATCCACAATCAGAGTTTGGCAGCCCAGGTTAAGAGAGTCACACAATGAATCATTTAGTCTAACAAGTTTTCACAGAGAATTATAAATGCATATATGCTTTCTAGGTCACATACCACAACTGTGGTTTATGTGAAATAGTATATCAACAGATACAAAAGGCACTAAGAAAGAAACAGGGGTCTGAGTAAAGAACCGTACAACACATAGTTACCAAAAAAAAAAATCTTTCCCAGAGCTTCTCCCACCACCTTGTAAAACAGAATTTTTATTTCACATGATAAAAAACATAAAAGAGGATTTTCTTGCATTGACCTTTACTGCTTTAAGTTGAAAAGCTAATGACCACGAAGGTCATTTCTAGCATTTTCCATAGTTTGGAGATCGCTAGTACAGATGCAGAAGGTACTGTAAACATATTCATGAGTTGCAAACCTCATCTTGTAGTCTGTGAAATGGAACCATATGATTAGCCAAGTTTCTTGTGACAAGGTCATTGTAGAGATCATTATTCTGACTTCTCCTTATTCCTTGATGGGATCTAATATCCACTAGACTTAAGCTGAACTCAAGTCTAGAGAAAATCATGTTTCCTTTCTATTTATATCATTAACATGAAACAGCCTACGTGGCACATTAAAGGTAGAGAAAATGACATTGAATGTAAGATAACTAGACCGAAAGCCCCAAAAGGGGTCCTTTCAGATGGGCTTTCACAGATACTCATCCTGTGATCAGGCTTGAGTAATAATTTGTTCTCTCCTAGTAAATGGTAGGGGTGTATTTTAATAAGAGGAAATATAGTTAGTCCTTAAAATAAAAATCAGGGTTAGGACACTGGTAACATTCATGCAACGTGAATTACGCACTTACCAGGTGACAGCACTGAACAAACCATTACACGTATTACACATTTATGATTTTATAAACTCAATAAGTTGCTCAGATGCCACAAAGCTTCTGAGGCCATGGAAAGAAACTCAGATTGCCTAAAAGTAGAGGATATGGAATAGATTTCTGACTGACTTAGGAAGAATGTACAACAATCATGGTTCATATGCTAACTATCCTGCAAATAAATGCCTCTCTCGTTGCAGCTTTATGGTCATTTAAGACATATCCTCTGAGTGGTGGCTCTCAAACTTGAGGGAACAGAGTTCCCTTAAGGGCTCATTAAAAGCCAGATGGCTGGGCCCCACACCCCAGATTCCTGATTCAGTGGATCCTGGGTAGGGCCTGAGAAGGTGTGCTTCTAGCAAGCTCCTGGATCTTACTGATGCTGCTGGTGCAGGTAACATTCTTGTAGAACAGTATCTGTATCTTCTAGATTGGGAGCCTGTTATCACTAGCATGACCTTGGAAATTTAGGAATACATCTAGGGTTTGGAACTGCCAAGGACATCCTTCCAGGTGGTGGCTATACTGGGTTATATGCTTGGTTGTTCTCCAAGGCATGCTAAAGGCTACCTGTGTTCCTTCCTGCTAAGTAAGCCCTTAAAACTTTGCTATAAGCAGGGGCTGAATGGATATATCCAGTTAACAATTAGAAACAAATATATTTACAAAGAAGTAGATGGTGAAGTCCATAAAAATGTTAAACCAATGACTACGAGTGTCTACCCCAGTGCTGATCATGTGGGCTAGTGTTTTGCAACTCTGCAACCCTTTTCCTGGAAGAATTTGGGAACAAGTACAGCCACCTCACCACAGTGGCAGTTTTACCATAGTAATACCTGACTTGTTTTTCTTTGCCGCCACTCCCAGGTGAGAGTCTCGGAAGCTGGTGAAGGACAGCTGCTCCACAGTCTTCAAGGTCTTCTTTCAGAATGTCACTGTGATTATAGAGCCTATAAAAGAAAACAGGTGCTGCATGAGATGTTTATTTAAGCACAAACGGCCAGCTTCTAGAATCTATGGTGGTTCTTCGTGGTTTATTGAAATATATCTGTAATATAATCTAGACATAAAAATGCAAAAACTAGACTATCTCTCAACAAAGATGTAAAACAGGGAAGTTTGAAAAACTTGTTTGTATGTATGTGGCAGTTTTAAAACCATCAGAGAAAGTAACTTTTAACCCTTTGAAGACTTAGTGATGTTCAAATCCACAGCTGTGCAATCTCATTCCACATTGTGATAGGAATGCTAGATAATCTTAACAGCAGAAAAGGCTAATTTTATATTGTCAATCATAACAAAGTGAGATCTCCATGACTCATATAAAATTTACTTAAATTGTCACTGCTAAGAAATTGAAAACTGCTAGCTGAAGTATATATAGGTTACATATTTTATTTCTGAATGTAGAAAAAATGACTATTATTTCTTCATTTAGATCCCACTGTAATAACACTTTTGTTATTCTTAGTAAGAACAAGAAGGTATGGAAAGAGGGATTTAGCTTTCATTATCTATTTCCAGTCTATTGAGAGACTTATAAATCTTATAATTTAGCCACTGTTTTAGGTTAGGTTTATCATGGTATCATAGTAGCCTCTAAAGAATTTGGTTACTAACTTCCTTTTAAAAAATGTCCATTTGGGGAAAAGAATGATTTTAAAAAGCTATGGAAGAAGATACCAAAGATAAAATAGTATTACATCTTTTAAGGAGCTGATCGTGTATGAAGCTGGGAATATTCAACACATAAAAAGAAAATAAAACAACTTATAAAGCAATATGTTAACTAGCAAAGTATTACTAATTTGTACTATAGTTGGTTAAATTACTGGATCTATTTAATGGCCATGTGCCTCATATCACAAGGACGAAATAGACACACTCTGTCCATCTACTTGAGGGTGAGTGACAAGGCAGGCTCAGGCCCACCCCTACTCTGAAGCAGGCTTTTACCCTAGGCAGGAAATATAGTTCAAGCCCTGTTCTGGACTCTGGGCCACTCTGTCAGTGCTCTAGCTCCTTGCTAAGTCTTACACTCGTGCTTAAACTCTAAGCCTGGGTTCTTAGTCTCTGGGCTAGATCCTGTGTTGGGTCCTTCCTTTACTCCTGAGCTCTACTGCCCTGAACCTTCCAGACTCCTGGCCTCTGTGACTTACAGTACCTGTGAATACCTCTTTTTCTCAGGCAAAATCTGGGTCCTAATTCTTTTTGGAAGGCTTTATCTTGTTACCACTCAACTCACAGAATAATAGCCTGTCCTTAAGAAGAGAAAGATAAGCCAGCCTGAGGTGAGCCAATTTCAGAGCAGTAAAGGAGAACTCATAATTAATAGGAAGACAATCAGGAATTATGAGGAGGTAGAGAAACTGAGAGCTCTGTGTTGCCAGGGGCTTGACTAAGGAGGAGGAATTTGGGCAGACAGGATTTAGACAGAGGGGGAGATATTTCAAGCTAAGGAGCAGCTCAGGCAAAAGTGACAGGAAATGCCAGAGGAAGAGGGGAGTGGGGACTAGCAAGGGGCTAAGTCTGGCCAGGTGAGGGATTCTGTTAGTGGTTATAAGATAGTAATGGGAAATAAAATTGATATGGAGCTCTAGTGAGAAAACAGCAATACACCTTGTGGATTTCTGAGCCATGCTGGTACCTTGAAAGCAGTGTTTTTGAGAGGGCTGGCCTAGCAGCTGTGCGCGGATGGAATTGGTGAGGAAAGAGACCCGAGATGCTAAGACCAGCCAGGAGACTGGTGATGCTCTATATGATAGAAGAAGAATGTGTAAGTATGAGAACAGTGGTGGGGTGGCAGAGGAGAAACAGTCATTCCAGGTGCAGCAGCCAGGGAGGACTCAGTGCCTATGGCTGGTGGGGTGAGGATACAGAAAGCTGGGGCATGTGCCTCCCTCAGATGGCCAGTAACCCTAGCCTCCCACTGTGGAGACCGTGTCTCAGTAACGCTAGATCTTCCTAGTTTTTAAGAGAAGCCGGAAATCCACAATGACAAGTTTTATTTTTATATGATATCTCCCAAATTTAAAAATGTGACAACTAATTCAAAAGAAGGTTAAATACCATGCTTGACAAACAATGTCCATCTGCTGGTTTAGGTCTCCAGCTTAGACCTTTAGTCTTACATCCTGACCTGGTAGTATATACACCCGGTCTTGGTGTTTTTGTACCTCCTCTAAAACATTAGTACAACAGTGGAACTTAGTAGACACTTGCTAATGCTGGTGTACCAAGGTGAGGTGGGGTAGCGTGTTATAGTGAGAGCAGCCTCCCTCCGGGGAGGAGTAGTTTATCTCTGCTATTCTTAGGAACGATGGTAAGAGAAAGCAGACTGAGTTTTAGTAGTTTTATTATTGTTTATAGACAATGCACCCCTTGTTGCCTAAATCTACATCTCCTTTCACCACCACCACCAAAAGTATCGGGGGCATGCCAGTGCTCAGTAATACCTGATGGTCCAGGCAGGACAAATGCCAGATAACCTTTGTTTTTTTCCTATCTGACCAATCCAAACATAAGGCTTACTTAGACTAGCTCATCTTACACTTTTTCTAGGAGCTTCTCTGACTACCTCATTCACAGGATTTTTCCTATCCCTGAAATCCTTTAGCACAATATAGACAGCATCCTATCTGTACTGTTCTAGTTATGTCTGCCTAGTCTTCTCAACAAGACCAAAAGCTTGTTTAGAACAGCAATCAGACTTCTGAATTTTTACTTTAAGTTCCATATAGTACTCAGCACAATGCTGAAGACACACTTAACAACACTACATGTTGAATGACAGGCCAAGATTTAAACCTAGATTAGAAAAAGTCATGACATACCTATTTTTACAGTCTGTTTTTGTACGTGAGTATTACTCCAGTCCAGGGCTTCCAGGGGTGGCAACAAGTGACCAAGAAGGTGGCCACAAGCATCGTCTGCACAAAGCTTATGGTCTACTCTAGATTAAGTCAGAATCTTGTCTGGTGAAAATGAGACAGGATAGGGAGTGCAGGGATACTCCCTCCCCCTCCAGGATAGGCTCTGGAAAATTTTTCTTCTTCAGATTTCTCCCTGTTTTAGACCTGGCAGGCGGGGAGGGGTGGTCCACGGGGCAAGAATAAGCCCAAATTGGTCTTTTCCAGCCTGGACGCCATCTTTGGCTAAGGCATGACCTTGGCTAATTATATCATTATAATCTCAGCCACATTGCGAATACCACAGCTCCCATCATGTCCCTGACGCCACCATGACAGTTCTGGAAACACCACATGCGGAAGAAAAGCAGGAACCCAAGCTCCCCGCCTACTGGGTGGCAACACAGAGGCTACCTCAGCACTAGGTTTTCCCAGGCTCTGCCTCCAGGGAAAACAAAAAAAGTTCAAAACCCAGTCATCTTGTGCTCTCTCTTTCTCTCGAGTAAGCCTGCACCCCACTCGAGTATGTACTTTCGCTTTAATAAATCTTAAGCTTTCCTGCTTGCTGTTTGCCTTGACCTGGGATTCTTTCTTGCAGAACAGGACAAGAATCTGGTCACTGGACCCCCACGCTCTCCAGCTGTTTATCTTATCCTTAAATTCTTTCATGTGGAACAAGACGAGAACCTTTCCAGCAACAAAAAGATGAGCCAATCTGTGCTAAGAATTTCTAAGAGTTATCCCCCCACGTGATATCAGACTTGACTTTACAAAATATCCATCAATCCTTTGCTGAAAATAACTTCGTTAAATAATTCACACACTGTATAGAGCTAACAATTAGACTATTATAGAAACACTAATTATTTTAGAATTCAAAACCTCAATTTCTTTCATGTCTTCTATTTGCATTACTACCAAAATAATTCCAGCTGGGGGACATTAGTCTGCCAAGCCCAGGCCCAGTCTTTCCTGGGAGTGTATGGACTGGCCTGGCACCAACACGCTGGGCTCTACCATCAGTTTGTTCTCTGTAAAGTCCAACAAGAGGATAAACCTGCTGGATGACAAATAATCGCTAGAAACACAAATGATACTTTAAAGACATATTGTATTTTACCTAATAACAGTTAAAGCATACAATAAATACATTTTGAGGGGCTAAATTTTAAAGTAATTGCTTTCTCGCTTCATTTTCATCTTTCAGTCACAAAGAATTTAGAAGATAATTTAAAAGAAAACAACTCTGCTCCGGGCTAATGGTTTTTTGTTTTTTGTTTTTTTTGTTTTAATGAGTTAGAAAAGTTGCTATGCTTTTTCTTTCAATATCACAAACAGAATTATTTCTTGGCAAAAATAACCCTGTATAAGGGCTACAGAAAATAAACTTTTCCTTAACTCTACCAGATAACTTTCACAAATTCCTGTGCATGTTATCTTTTGGGGGACTTAGAATTTATGTGTTACAGTTGTACTACTATATATAAGTTGGACTTTCAGGTTTTATTATCTCTAGGGCAGGACTCCAATTCTGGGGCTGCAGACCAGTACCGTCTGTGGCCTGTTAGGAACTGGGCTGTACAGCAAGAGGTGAGCGGTTGGAGAGTAAAGCTTCATTTGTATTTGCAGCCGCTCCCCAAGACTAGCATCACCGCCTCAGCTCCACCTCAGATCATCAGGTATTAGATTCTCAAAGAAGCACCAATCCCTGGTGCCAAAAAAGATTGGGGACCGCTGCTCTAGGGGACAACAGTCTCAAAATGGTGTAATCGCTGACAATAAATATTAATATGTTTGCTTACATAATTTACATAATTTAATGTTACTTTCAAAATGTTTTATAAAATACGTTTACTGTATTTTTAATGAGATTGAAGAATCAAAGTGCTATAGTTGGTCACATCCACAACAAAGTTTTATGGAAGAAATTGTATTTCAGAACGAGCAAAAAAAGAGGCATCATTTGTAGAGGTAGTCCATAAGTGGTGAGCCTGTTATTTAGGAAGAACCCATATAGCGAGAGGTGGGAAAGGGGCAAAGTA